CATTTGCATATCTGAAGTTATTTATGTTTCTCCCAGCAATCTTGCTTCCAGTTTGTGCTTCATCCAGCCCAGCATTTCACATGATGTACTCTGCATATAAGTTAAATAAACAGGGTGACAACATACAGCCTTGACATATTCCTTTCTCAATTTGGAACCAGTCTGTTGTTCCATGTTCAGTTCTAGCTGTTGCTTCTTGACCTGCACACAGATTTCTCAGGAGGCACGTCAGGTGGTCTGGTATTCCCATCTCTTTAAGAATTTTCCATAGTTTGTTGTGATCCATACAGTCAAAGGCTTTGGCATAGTCAATAAAGCAGAAGTAGACATTTTTCTAGAACTCTCTTGCTTTCTCTATGACCCAACAGATGTTGGCATTTAATCTCTGGTTCCTCTGCCTTTTCTAAATCCAGCTTGAACATCTGGAAGTTCTTGGTTCCTGTACTGTTGAAGCCTCGCTTGGAGAATTTTGAGCATTACTTTGCTAGCATGTGAGATGAGTGCAAAAGAATCCGCCTGTCAATGCAGGAGACATGGGTTCAATTCCTGAGTCAAGAAGATTCCCTGGGGGAGGAAATGGCAACCCACTCCAGTATTCTTGCCTGGAAAATCCCATGGACAGAGAAGCCGGGTGAAATGTGTTCATGGGGTCGCTAAGTGTTAGACACATCTTAGCGAGTAAACAAAAACAACAAATCCAGATGCCCGGGATACAAAAGTGAGTAGTATTGGGTTCCTTCTCTTTTGGGGTTAAGAATCTATCGGATAGCAGCTAGATAAGAGGATGGTTAAATAAAGGGAGAATTAAATAGAGATCATAAGTATTGTGATCATGTATATCATGTATAAAGGCGTCTAGTGGAGCATAGAGAAGGAGCATGTATCTAGACCAAAGTGGTAGCTGCAATGTTAGAAAATATTTACTGGAGGAGGTGATATGAGCTGAATTTGAAGTAGTGACTTATTGGAAACAGTGGGGAAAAGGGCATTCCAGTTATTGGGAGCACCACCTCCCACATGCAGCATCACCCACTACCACCACTGCTTTGGGAAGCTGAGACCTCTAGAATCAAAGCAGGAAAAAGTTGTTAAAATATTAGGTCTTAGATAACAAGTGATTGATTCAGTCAAGGGTGATCTGCCAAAGCATGCAGAATCACGTGGGACAGCAGCATACAGAATCCTGGACATCAGAGGGCAGGACTGGTGGTGGGGAGCTTGTTTCTGATCCTTGGGAAAAGGTTGCTTTTCATACTATTTCAGTCCATATGCTGGAGATGGGCAGGTAACGTCAAATATTCATGTCCATGACATCCTCTCAATCTATCTGAAACTTCTCAGTGAACTCATCCAAATATTGAAATACTTGTAAGCTCAAAGATATCAATGATTATGTTATTTAAAATTGTAAATTAATGGCCTACAATAGGGAAAATGCCTCAAGAGGTTTGGAACAACTTCTGGGTGAACCATTAAGTTCCATAGGCATGGAAAATGGTGATTCTGGAAACGGTGCAGTGTGTGAAGAGAAAAAAAAACTTGTGAAAAAAATTATGATTTAAGCCTGCAGGAAAAATATTAATACTCAGAAAGAAAATATTAAACTGATAATGTTTTTTCTCTGTTGTTTACATTTTATAGCATATCCTTAGTTACTTTTATGATAATATTTTTTAATATAATGCAGCTTAACGGTGAAGTATGGCTTCCCTGGTGGTGTCAGTGGTAAAGAACCTGCCTGCCAATGCAGGATATGTAAGAAATTCAGGTTCGATCCCTGGGTCAGGTAGATCCCCTTGAGGAGGGCCTGGCAACCCACTCCTGTATTCTTGCCCAGAGAATCCCATGGACAGAGGAGCCTGGTGGGCTACAGTCCATAGAGTCACAAAAAGTTGGATATGACTGAAGTGACTTAGCATGCACGCAAAGGTGAAATATGGGTGCTGATTAAGGCAGAGGCAACAAACCCTAAATAAATAATTACCCTTTTGTACGTTTGTTTCCGATATTTCAGATTCCACTTTCCCCCTAATTGTATTTCAGTTTGTGTGGTATATTTGTTTTGCTTGTTAAGTCTGTCCTGTGTCTTGCCCTTGCCCACACCCCTCTTCCCAGCCTGGATCTGTGGGATGCATTGTGATGTCTGTCTGCTAATTTTGCTGTGACTGGGGCTGGTGTCTGGTTGGTGATTCATATTTGTTCCTAAGTTGTACATCTGTGTTGGTTGCTTTGAAACATGCCCCAGGGAATATGAAAGGCCGTTTGTCTCCCTGAAACTGCTTCTTTGCCCCCAGGGAATTCTTCTTTGGCTTCTGAATTCTGGCAAGCTCTTCTATGAATTTAGACAGGGTAAAGAAGAAAGAAAAAATAAAACAAAGGGAAGCAACAGGGAGAGAGTTTTAACGTGTGGGTCTAGTCCCTGCTTACCTGGCAGGACCAAACCTCCTGGATATAAAAATTGGGGGGCACATGCTTTGTGACATCTACTTAAAAGGTAATACGTGTGGGCTTATTTCTTCCCACTAGGAATGCCTGCAGCAGGAAAGAGGGCAGACTGAGCCCTGATGGAAACCCTCAATGGAAAAAGTTCTGAGAGCTTGGTAGGCATACCCACTTGGAAAGTCTTCTAAGAGTTTAGCACATATATACACAGAAGTGACATTCATAATATTTAATGACTGGTACCACATGGACACTGACCAATTAAATGGACACAGGCCACCGTGCTGAAGCTGGAGGCCCCCTGCTGTTCCAGACATCAACCCTTTAGTTATTGGATAACCAGGAGGTCCGGCAGCTCCTGGAGGGTCTGGGGGCAGGGGCTGGCTGCAAGCTGTTACCAAAGTATTTCAGTGTTTTAATACCCATTAAGGATATATAGACAGAGACCAAATGAATTACTGCATGGTTACTCATAAAAGCTTATGCCCACTCTTAAGCTTTATGTAGCCCCATCTTTACCTATTAAGAGCCTGCCCTCTTTGTCTTAAAGAAGAGTTCAGAGCCAACGTCAAGACCTAGTCATACTGCAGGCTCCAGGTGGCACAAAGACGTCCTTATCCACAAAGCAGCTCTTTATTTTGCTCAATGAGTAGTATAGATCTCACCCAAGGGAAATTTGTAAGTCAGCTTACATTATATTTTCACTTGCTGCAATATATTTGCCTTACAACATAGCTTTACCTCCGGGCAGGCTGGCAAACAGGCTGAAATGTGTGAGTGATTGCCCACCTGCCTGCTTGCCTGCAGAATCTGAAAGACCGTCCCATCCCAGACCATGAGCCTGCTGTGAAAATCCATCTGCAGGACCATGAAAGCCCAAATGCATATATTGGATTGTTACGGCTCTTCCTTGTCCTCTTCATGGGAGATTCTCACTTGCTGCTTCTTATCAGACACCTAGAGTCTGCTGGTTGGCTAAAAGCAGCTTCTCGGAATGGTCTCTGGGGAAGCATTATAACCCCGGATTCTCTTGTTTCTTCTTCCCCTGTTTCAGTGAAACCTACAGCTTCAGCATAATTTGCTGCCTCTCTTGCCTTCACTCCAGATAACAGCCAGGGTTGCTCATAATCCAACTGACTCTCTACATACCAAGCACAACTTTTGTCTGAATGTAGAGACTGAAAGGAAATTTCACTCTACCCAGAAAGCCATTCAAGAGTTCTGTGCTTACAGAAGTCTGAGGTTGTAGAAGACTGAGTTGGAAAGCTTGGATTTTCCAATTCTCCTTGCATATATACTAGCCTTTGCCTTCGTGCAGGCATTTAAATCTCTCGAAGCCTCATCTCCCGCAAATGTAGAGTGGAGTCATACTGTGGAGTTCACAGGGTCATGATAAAGATTGTAAATGAAATAATAAATGAGAAAGCCATCTGTAAACTAAAAACATCCACCACAAGAGCACAGGCTGTAAGAACTAGTGAACAGAAAAGAATCACAAATGTAGAAGTAAATCATGGCAGCTGGATGAATATGAGGTAAGCCCACTACTGTGGTCCAGCCTGGAAAAGAGAGCATCCTGTAACTTCTCCAACACCTTTCTGCAGAGCTGGAGCTGGAGAGCAGTGAGTGATCTAGAGAAATGCTAGGCAAGAGGATTACTGCCAGTCTGAGGTTATGCATGCAGGAAAAATACATAGAGGATGGTGGAAAGCATGGGGAAGACAGGGTACCGAAGGTAATACCAGGACTGGGAGAGAGAAAATAGAGAAAATGTCTATCGCTTCTGCCTGTGTGGTCATTGCTCAGAACTGGTTCAAATAAATCTGGACTTGAGCATACCATTCCAGAGTGAGGGAGACTGACCAGAAATCTCAACGATCCTCTTCCACTTGAGTCAGCAGCCGCATCCTCTCTCCTCCAGAAAGAAAGCTCTGCTGCCCTGAAGGCTTATTTGGCATTATTAGATTAATTAAGTCATTTTCTGTGCTTAAACTTGAGTGTGAATGGTAAGTCACAGACTGGGCCTCCCGTTTAATCAGCCAGTGGATGTTTTCAGAATAGCACTTTGTTCCTAAAAGCATTCAGAAATATGCACCTTGTCTCTTTAATGAGACTGTGATATTTATTTATGGCAGAAAGAAGTCTCCCAGCTAAGCAGACTCATTCAAGTGATAGTTGAGTGTCTGGCACTTAGAGCTGTGTTAGATGCTGTATCTGGAGTCGCTTATTATCACCAGTTCATTTTATGAATTTGTTAAAGTTACTCGTGCCGCCGAAAGGCCGTGGGACTTTGTGCTGGGGATCAAATCCTGTCTCCACTCTTTGCTAATGACTAAACATCTGTGGACTGTTCCCTTTATATAAAATAGAGGATTAGATGACTTTTTGTATAAAAGAGAATGAGGATGACTGCAACTCAGAGCTGTTTGGAGACGCAAAACTTTCGGTGACGTGTGAAATGCTGTATAAAGTGCCCGGTGCGTGGTTCTCCATGCGTGTATGTCAGCTGCCCTTCTTCCTGGTTCTCATGTGACTACGTTTTTTTCTTTCTCTTTAAGCTTTGATGTGGAAAATGGCCCTTCCCCAGGTCGGAGCCCACTGGACCCCCAGGCCAGCTCCTCTTCTGGGCTGGTTCTTCATGCCACCTTTCCCGGGCACAGCCAGCGCAGAGAGTCCTTTCTGTACAGATCAGACAGCGACTATGACTTGTCACCCAAGGCGATGTCGAGAAACTCTTCACTTCCAAGTGAGCAGTAAGTACAAGCTGTCTGGCTCCCTGTCTCACACTTACCTCACTTTTAACACATCAGAGGAGCAACACTGTTCCCCTTTAACACAAGGGAAGAGGGGGGAAGAAAAATGAACAGGAGCAGAGATGACAATGATAACCACTTTAAGGGCATATATGCTCTCTTGAGTGAGAAATGTATAGCTAGGGTCCACAAGAGCGTTTAAAAACCTTAAGCACAGTGTTCGCTTTTCTTATGTTATTGATACTTTTTTAAGCTTTTGATTTTGTATTGGAGTACAGCCAATCAACAATATTGTGATAGTTTCAGGTGGACAACAAAGGGACTCAGTCATATATATACATGTATCCATTCTTCCCCGAACCTCCCTCCCATCCAGGCTGCCACATAACATTAAGCAGAGTTTCCTGTGCTAAACAGTAGGACCTTGTTAGTTATTCATTTTAAATATAGCACCTTGGACCCAAACTCCCTAAGTATCTCTTTCCCCTATTCTCCCCTCCCCGCTGAAGTTCATTCTCTAATACTTAAAAAAAAAGTTTTTATTCAGCTTCATTTCCTGAACTGCTGAATTGTTTATGGCACGAGAACCTTAAAACTTTTATGCAAACCACAATCTAACTTTGCAAAGCATGCACAGTTTACATCAGGCTATAGCAGAGAAGGAAAACAGTGGTTGGTGACATGCAACTTCTCTGAGTGGCCTTTGCTGGGTAACATTTAGTAAGCTGTCATCTAGTCACATGTCTGTGTCCCTTCTCTGGAACCTTGACACAGTGCCCACTTATTGCCTGGCTCCTGGGTGAGACAGGACACACTTCCACCACCCTATTAAGCATGCCTGATGATTCTGTTTTGCTGCTATTAACTGGAGCTCTCTAATTTTTATTTAAAGAACAGCCACAGGGTTGTGTTACTTATTTATTAAGTTTCTGAAGCCAAATAAAGTTTGATGATGGAATGCGAGCCTTAAAAGGTTTCTGGGCACATGTACAATTGTTTTTAATATCATATGGTATAAAAATATCAGTAGCTCCCTAAAGTCTCCAGACTGGAAAATTCCACTGGGCTCTCCTCAGTTCTTGGGAAGGAAGCTAAGAAGGGTCACCCTTTTGTGAAAGGGGCATAGGGCATTTTAAACCTACCAGTAAGAAAATATGCCCAGGGCACTTCTACCAGCTAATTTTAATAGAAGCATGTGCTCAGTCGCTCAGTCGTGTCCAACTCTTTGCCATTATATAGACTATAGCCCACCAGCCTCCTCTATCCATGGAATTCTCCAAGCAAGAATACTGGAGTGGGTTGCCGTTTCCTCCTCCAGGGGATTTTCCCAACCCAGGAATAGAACCCAAGTCTCCTGCATCTTCGGCATTGGCAGGTAGATTCTTTACCATTGAGCCATCTAGGAAGCCCTTAGTAGAAGCACTCCTGCCCTAAAACATCTCAATCATGGGTGAACCAAAACTCATTTGGCTAATATTTACTGAAGCTCGGGGCTTCCCTATGGCTCAGTTGCTAAAGAATCTGCCTGCAATGAGGGAGACCTGGGTTTGATCCCTGGGAAGATCCCCTGGAGAAGGAAAAGGCTACTCCCTCCAGTGTTCTGAACTGGAGAATTGCATGGACTGGGGTCACAGAGTCAGACACAATTGAGCGACTTTTACTTTTACTTTCTCTACTGAAGCTCACCTATGTTCCAGGCAGTGTGCCAGGCTCTGGGAGTAAAAGATGAACAGAATAGTGGAAAAATCACAGAGAAGTTAAGAAATGAATGGTATTCTCAAAAAAGTTGCACGTTCTCAGGAAGGTTACAGTTACATAAGAAAGAGGAACTCTGGTGCTATGTGGAAGGAAGCATTCAGTGAGTGCATACCATGGAACCCTGTTTATTTACATAAATATGATCTCATTTAATGTTTGCAGCAGTCCTGTCAGGCAGGCAGCATTATTATCTCTTTTCTATAGAGGATGAAACAGAGATTCTGAGACATTGAGAAACCTACCCCTCCCATCTGACTGTGTGCCTTGATATTATCCCTTGATGTGGATAAGACAGACTCTGCCTATGCTTTTCAAACTGCAAAGTAGAATCTACTAAGAGGTGGAAAACGTGAATGCAGGGTAGAGGTAACCTCTTTGCTGTGGATCACGTAGCGCTAAGGAAGTTTCTGACCAAGGCTCAGATGGGGACTTTGACAGTGAACATACCTGGACCAAACAAACACCTTTCACCTTTCTCCTCCCTGGGCAGAAGATGTGCCAAGCTGGAGGTAATTAGAGCTTCATTCACAGCGTTTCGTGGGAGAAAGACTAACTTTGGACAGCAGCTAGTGGCTCCCCCAGACTCGTGACAAATAGCTTGATGTGTCTCCGGGCCACTCAGAGGCTTCCCAGCAGACTCGAACCAAATTTCAAATTAAACTCCACCAATTCCTTACTTACAATCAAAAGGTTATAGAAATTTTGAACTTGAAGAGATCTTAGAGGTCACAGTTCAACTCAGTCTATAGCTATAGAAACAGACATCTAGTTCTAAATGACTCTGTATCCAGGGTCGCTAATATTAATGGTTAGCCTCTTTTCAACCAGCAAAAATTTCCCCTAGCTTTAGAACCTATATAGTGTTGCCAACTTTAGATTTAGACAGGTAAGAATTATATAAGCAAGATAACTGGTATCATTCTCACTTAAAAAAAAAAAAGAAAAAACTTTAAAACATAGGGCACACTTTCAAAATAAAGAATAGTCCTTCCCAAGAAAACAGATTTGGCAACATGATATCATCCTGTCAAAGATACTGATAACAAGATATATTAACATTTTTGAGTGAATAAAAATAGCACACAATGTTGTTTTGCAAATATTTAAACATGACAGTAAAACTTTAATATATTTGTCAGTTTAGGAATTTATATTTCTCAACAAAGCAAGAAGTAGGACTTGAATATCCAGATTCTTCTGGAATTTCATTTTATCTGGACTACATTGGAAAATCCAGTTTTACACAGGTGTGTGCTAAGTCACTTCAGTTATGTCCAACTGTTTGTGACCCCATGGACCATAGCCCACCAGGCTCCTCTGTCCATGGAATTCTCCAGGCAAGAGTACTGGAGTGGATTGCCATTTCCTCCTCCAGGGGATCTTCCCAATCCAGGGATCAAACCCGGGTCTCCTGTATTGTAGGCAGATTTACACGGATATCTTGAGCTAAACGGAAATCATGCTCTCAAAGCTATTTGACCCAACTATTACTCTTCAGGATGACTTGACATAAATAGAGGAACCGCAGTCCCTGAACCTCTTGCTGCTTCTCCTGCCTTCTATTCACAAAGTCAAGAGAAAGAAGGACAATAATAGAGCTGGAATCTTCATGTGAAGGCTGTGGGGTGAGGGCTGCAGCGTGTTCCCCACTCAGGAGTCTTCATATCAAACACAGAACAGCCATGAATTTACACAAGAGGTAGAACACCCTGCATAATTCCTTGGCATTAAATCTTAACAGTAGAGACAATGCTGTCTTTTTACAGCTTTTCATCTGAACTCTTTCAGGAGGAAAAGTATAGGCAGGGAGAATGAATAAACAGATACTAAGTAAAAATGTGAATGGAAAATTAAAAGTGGCTTTAACATACAGCAACAAAAGAGAGATTGAAATAAGGGTTTCTAGTAAAGAAAACTAGATGACCATCAGATCCCAAAAGGACATTCCCCATGCTTTCCTAGATGTGGCAATAATTTATTGGTCTCTGTTCAGTTCCTGTGTTGTAGTCATCTTTAATGGAGTGCGTCTATATACCAAGGTACAGATTTCCCTAAGGGAACATAAGGTATTAGGAATTGGGGAGGCCGGTTATATTGTCCAAAACTTTGGAGGAACCAACCTGGGCAGGACCAACTTTTGATTATCCACCAGTAAAGCCACAGGGAAGGAAGATCCCTGTTTCCTTTGTTTAGGCATCCTATTTGCAGTCTTATACAGACAAGTTTTTAAAAGACACTGTTGATGTGAGAAGTGATCTCTAAAGAGTGCAATCACGGGAAATGAGATCTGAAAACCAAGAGGAAAAGTAGAGATAACAGCCCACTTAAATTTAAGACCTGTTTATTGATGGGCTACCAAAAAAGTACAATGTGGTATCTAAGACTTAAGTTACAGCCATTATACCTACTAGCACCATAACTTTAAGACACTGAATGTTTTTCATAGTGTCTAAATTATCTATAAATTAAAAAACACATTTATTAAGCATTTCCTATATACTATTTAAAGTATTTACGTATTTTAACTCATTTATTCTCCCTAATGCATGAATACTATAATTCAGTATTATAGTACTATCATTGTTTTGGTACTATAATCGTCTTGGTGGTACTATAATTGTCTTGGTGGTACTATAATTGTCTTGGTACTATAATTGTCTTGTCGTAAAAAGGAGAACACTGGAGCACAGAGAGGTTAAGTAATTTGCCCAGTAAACAGGGAAACACAACTCAAATTCAGGGAATCTAGATGACTCAACCATATGTATATTCGGTACATAAACAGACTAAATAATGATGAAAAATTAAAATAATGATAGAAATCTCTGCTCTGCCTACCTTTCCAGCTATTACAAAAGTTATATCCATCCTTCCTTTGAATAAAAATTTGCTTCCATTTAGACACCTTGCAAGCAAATGAGACATCTTCTGTGTCTTCAAGGGAGCTAAAATCTTAGTAAGTCAATGTGCTGTACTTAGTCACTACTTTTTGCGATTCCATGGACTGTAGCCCACCAGGCTCCTCTGTCCATGGGATTCTCCAGGCAAGAATACTGAAGTGGGTTGCCATGGCCTCCTCCAGGGGATCTTCCCCACCCAGGGGTCAAACCTGGGTCTGCCGCATTGCAGGCAGATTCTTTACTGACTGAGCCAAGCCAATAGGTAGTTGTGATACCTTCAGAAAAGGGCAGTGGTAGAAAGGGATGCCCAGGACTTTGAGAGATCTGGCCCGGCAAAGTGAG